GCAGGCCTGAACTGGTAGAGTTGTGACATTTATTAACATGTATCTTAAGGACTACACTTAAAGTTATGGCCGTAATATTAATCACTGAAAAACATATAACACAAAGTATTTTATGTTATAATAGGAATTCAAGAAAAAATAAGATATATCTTTATAGCTATGCCTGGCAAGATGATAGGAGCCATGGCAGTGCAGTGGTTAAGGCGCTCAACTGCTAACCAAAAGGTCAGCAGTTCAAACCCACCAGACACTCCGTGGGAGAAGGATATGAAAGTCTGCTTCCACAAAGATTTACAGCCTTGGAAACCCTACGGGGCAGTTCTACTCTGTCCCATCAGGGTCACTGTGAGTTGGAATCAACTCGACGGCAGTGGGTTTTTTTGGCATTGGCAATATCATAAGAGTCTATATACTGAATGGCATAAAAACACAATAATGGAGAATTCATGACCTCTGAGCTCCAGAAATAAGTCATAGTCGCTTATTATAGGAGCAGAAAGTTTGGTCTCATTTTCTCAACTACACTTTCAAAGGGAAACTTCCAGTAATTCCATATAATCTACCAAAGGCCAATGACCCCTAGTGGGAAAAAAAATCAGTGGGAGGGTCGCATACAAAGAGAATTTTGTTTTAATTTAGGGAAATATAAAAATTCAATTACTCCATTTTGTAAATTAAGGACACAACAAATTTCATTCCATAGCTAAGAAACACTAAGAAACCACTAAACTTTGGTTGACTAGGATAGCTAGTTTGGCCAGTTTTGTGGAGGAAGAGTGGGCTGGCAGGAAAAAGCAAGGAGGAAGAGGAAAGAGAATGTGGTGAAAAATAAAACTGGATGAGGAAAAGAGAATGAGAAAAGCAAAAAGGAAGAGAGACAAAACGGAGAGCAAGGCTGAGAGGATTCTGAACACCGAGCGCTGTAAATACTAACAGAGGTTAATGTGTAGCTACACTATCACCTGTGTGTACTGCCCACCCAGCTGCACTAATCCTTAAATCTTTATAGGGAAATCCACTCTGCTCACCAGGGTGGAAATAAATTATCCCCTGGGTACAAATGTTCTGAAGGAGCAATAACAGAGAGTGCCACAAAACCAAATCCAAATTCTACAGTCTCTAGTTAAAACTGGTTTCTATTTCTCCTTTATATCAGATGAATTTTCCATTTCTACAGCGTGATTCACACAATTCTCCATTCAATAAACTTTCATGGAAGGCATACTGTGTGCAAGGCCTGGGGGATATACAAAAAACAAACAAACAAAAACAAACCCGTTGCCGTCCAATTGATTCTGACTCATAATGACCCTATAGAACAGAGTAGAACTGTTCCATAGGGTTTCCAAGAGCGGCTGGTGGATTTGAACTGCCTATCTCTTGGTTAGCAGCCTAGCTCTTAACCACTGTGCCACCAGGGTTCCCTGGAGGATATAGCAGTGAACAAAACCATCGTGACTGCTACCCTCACAGAGCTGATTAGTGAGACATGAGGGGGTGGGGGTAGCATCAATTTTTCCCAGTTAGATGGGTGTTTACAAAACAGGAGGGAGGGTGAGCGTAGTGTCTCCTCTGATACTCTTTCCCCCACACTCAAATCTTTCAAGGACAGCTCAAGTCCTAGCTAAGGAAAGGGAAAATGGAGTAAACCCAAAGACTAACCAGAAAATACTGAAATGTTGCAGTTAAAGCTCATACTGATTAAAAACAAAACAAAACTGTAAGTGTTCAAACTGAACACAGCATTCATTATCTGTAACCAAGTAGTCCATAACTCCTGAAATGAATAAACAGCCAGAATATTTTTAGTAATACTTAAATAAGTTCATAAAGACAAACCAGCCTAATTATTACAAGATCCTAAATTACCTTTGGAATCATTAAGAAGCAAATTACATTTACTGAGTTTTACTGTTAAGTGTATTTCTTGTACTATGAATATTGGTATCTCATGTAAAGGATGATTTCTTAACATGTGGCCTGCCTAAAATATACCTCAATAAAAGCACTCCATAATCAAACAAATTTGGGGACTGCTGCAGACACTAAATACCACTTGGAGATTCAGTGTATTTTAGGAAATTAAGTTCTCTGACAGGTCCTGTTTAAAGAAACTTGTTCAGCTTGGTTCAAACCAGCATTTCCCAAAGTTATTTGACCATGGAACTCTTTTTTCATTTAATACTTATGAACAATCCATAACTGGCTTCATAGAACACAGTGTAGGAAAAGCTATAGTGTAGGGCACACACTGCTTAATTATCTGAAATGCAATTAATTATCTCTCTCTCAACTATTCTTGATGAACTGATATTCACTACAGGAAAACAAATACTGCCCCCAATGGATTTCTTATTGAAATTTTCTTGTTGAAATTCATTCAAGGGTATGCTAACTTATTGCAGTTTTAAGAAATACTTTTCAACAAACTAAAATTGGATCCTGAAATAAAGGAACTCTAATTATATAATTTAATTGTTAAATTGCTAGACGTTTCTCATTTTCTTCCCTCATCATACATTTTTAAATTTCCAGAGTATATTTAATATTTTAAATTACTTTTAAAAGATTCATTCCCTTAAAGAAAAAAAACTGAACTCAAAGAAAAATGCAGTTCTACTATGACACGCATGGGGTTGCCTGAGTCGGAATTGCCTTGAAGGCAACTGACAAGAACAACATTACATTACTTGATAGGCCTAACTGCAAATATCTGTAACTGAGACGTCGCCTCAACACCTATAGTTAGTGAATAAAAAACATGGTACTATTATTTCTGTGGTTGTGCTGCTACTTATTTACAATTTGACTCCTCTGGAAATACAAGTTTGTATTTTAAAACCTATATTGGAGGTTTTATGGAACCAAATCCCAAATAACTGAAAAAGTTTCATCATTCACAGTTAACAATCAAAACTAAATTCAACAAACATTTATTTAGCACCTACTATATGCATGCTGACTCAAAGTGACCCTACAGGTTTATGTATAAGTCAGAATCAACTCCAGGGCAACGTGTTTAGTTTTTCAGGGGGTGGTTTTATATGCATGCCAAGGAGCCCTGATGGTGCAGTGGTTAAGCTCTGGGCTGCTAACGGAATGGTAGGTGGTTGAAATCCACAAGCCGCCCTGCGGGAGAAAGATGTGACAGTCCACTTCTGTAAAGATTACAGCCTTGGAAACCCTGTGGGGCAGTTCGCCTCTGTCCTACAGGGTCGCTATGAGTCCGAACTGACTTGACGGCAGTGGGTTTGGTTTTTTGGTTTTATATGCATGCCACTGGATCAGGCACGGTAAATATGAATGTGTATCTCCTGGGCCCCAAATCAAGACAATGGTCTGACAGTGGGACAGAATACTGGAAGGGACTCTTTCAGGGACCTAAAGGCACTGTGGATAATAAAAGAGCAAGTTCCTGCCCTCATGATGCTTACTAGTCTAACTAGGTGAATTTCTGGACACACACACCTCCACACAAGCCGATAGGACAGTTTCGACACACGGGCCTTTTTCTAAAATGACTACTTTAATGACCTGAAAGTTTAATATTAGTTAATGCAAAATAATCAACATTAGGTTTGGGTCAAAACGTGAAAGCTGTCAAAGTTTTCACTTTCATCTTCTACAACTGTGTAATGATTTTCTTTTAATGCCAGTTAGTAGGTTTAACGGATAAGCATTACACTGATATTAAAAGCAACTTAGGTTAATAATCTGAAACCATTACAAACTTCTTCAAATAATCTATAGGAGAAGAAATCCAACTTCTGATCATCAGAACAAAGTGGAATTTTCACTTGGGGTGAATGGGGCTTGGGAGGGGTGGGTAAATCACTTCAACTATGTTATGCAACACTGAAAAAGGCTTTTCACTTTCATACAGAAAAAATACCATATTGACTGCCAGAAATATAAGACAGAAAGTGGACCAAACTATCCCTCAAACTTGGCAGTCCTCAGTAAACAAGAAAATCAAGGCAATTTTGCAAATGACTCTTTTAAAAAGATGCAGTAATGAGAGATGTGATATTCAACAATCTGCTACCACGGGCATCGGAATCCTCCCTCCCCCCATTTTAATGGAACGTAAAACTACAAATGAATCCCCGCTCTAAAATTTCAAATCCGAGAATTGAAAAGCCGCTGCCGTCACGAACATTTTTTTCCTTTTTATTTTTTAAATTCTTTCCTTTAGAAAATCTTAAAGACTAATCCCAGAAACTCTGAGAAAACAACGCAATGCACGGTAGAGAAGACTCGCAGTTTTTTAAAAAGGGGGAGATCACACATATCCCACTGAGACTGCTTAATAAAACATTAACTTTGTTCTGCTAAATGCTTCAAAAATCGGCGTGGCTGATAGTATTTTCTAATTACACGTGCTCTGAATACAATATTTATGCTAATAAACGAGAGCCTCAGAATACATGTGCAATGAAGCAAAACTGATGTTCCAGATTACATTTTAATAGTCCCAAAGAAAACGGAAAACTGCAACTGCATGTGCAAAGCTGACAAGGAAAACAAAACAGAGTGGTAGGGTCTAGTGCCCCCAGCTTCACAGGGCCAGCTGCCCTTCCCTTTCTATCACAGGAGCCAAAAGAACAAAGTTCACAGTGATTTCACGTTTCAGTGGGGCGCCAGAATATCCTGGGGGTTCGTCCGTTACACCCGCTCTTTGGGTGGGAATTGATTCGAGGGCCTCTGTCACTTTCAGAGCCGGTCTGGCTTCTCAAGCCGTCCGATAAGTTCCAGGAACCGACGCCGCGGCTCCGAGGGTGCCCTAATCGTAACCCTATTAATCCCTATCGCACGGATCGAGGCTACTTCCCCTATAAACGGTGCCCGAGCCGGGTGGGTGGCTGGCATAAAATCATCCAAAGCAGGGCGACAGGGCACCGCGGTCCCGGAGGGCCCCAGTGGAAAGTTGCCGCCCGATCGGGCCGAGTTTCGCCGTGGACGACGGCCCAGGAACCCCCCGCCTGCCCGGCGTCGCTTACCTTTTTGCCGCTGCCGCCGCGAGGCTCGGGCTCCGCGAGGCCGGAGACGCGGACCCGGGTCGAGGGGACGGTCTTCTGGCCAGGCCGGTGGCGAGACCCCTTGGACCCGCTGGGCGGCAGTGGCCGCGCCGCGGGTCCCGGCGTGTCCTCGGCCTCTTTGCTGCCGTGGTGCACCGACCGGCTGTCGGAAACGTGGATGCTTGGGGTGCAGCCCATGCTGGCGGCGGCGCCGCGGACACGCTGGCGGGCAGCCGCGATTCGGTCAGCAAACGGCCCGCCCGACGCCT